CCGGCTCGGTCCTTGTGTACTACTGTGGGATGTCTGATCTGCACCCACCTCAGCCCAGCGAGGGTTTAAACGCTGCGCTCAGCCGCCGACCAAGCCAGCCTCCCCCTCAGCACTACCCCAGCACCGTCCCGGGAGGAAACCCAGGAACACAAGGGGCAGCAGGGCAGGGACGCCGGGGGCAAAGGGACCAGCTGGCCCTGAGGGCTTCTGGTTGGAAGTGGTCCTGGCCACCCCCAGGGAAGCAAAGGGGACACGCACGGTGCCAGGGGACACCTTACCCTCTGCCTGGTTTTCTGCAGGTTGTTGCGAAGGATTTTCCGGATCTCCTCCTCCTTGTCCTTGGACAGGGCCGGAAGGATGCGCTCCACGGGGAGGGTTTTGGGGTTGATGTTCCTGCACGGACAGACAGGATTCAGAGTGACGCTGCGATGGCCACGGCAGGACCGAACGGCTGCTTGCCCTGTGGCCACGAGCAGGGAGCGCTCAGCCTATGCCAGCGGCCCATTGGAGGCACAGGATGGCCAGGGCCGGGGAACTCACTGGATGGAGACGGTGGAGACAGCGGAGGGGATCTTGCCTATGCCTCCACTCTCCACCAGCTCGATTGCCTGTTTCATCTCCATCTTGTGATAGAAAGCGATGAGCTGGGGCTCCTTGGACCGCTCCCCCGCAATCAGGCACTTCTTCACGTACTTCTTGTTGAAGCGATTCAGCCTTCCCGAGAACATGGGGAAAGGAGGAGCAGCGACACATCAGACCTTCCCCTGCCCTGGCACCACTCCCTGCTCCCCATCCCCGGCCCGGCCCAGCCCAGCAGAAGATGGTTCAGTTCCCACCAGCGCAGGTCAGGCCAGGCTTCCCCGACTCCCTCCCAAGCCAGGAAGCCTCCAAAACACCCAGCAGCAGCTTGTACCCACAACGGATGGGCCTGAGCTCCTGAAGGGCCCTGAGCGCCTGAAGGGACCAGCCACCGGCAGCTCCCACACTGCCGTGGGCACGTTGTAGGTGGCGTGGTGAAGGGGTGCGGCCCTGCGGCCCCACTCGCACCCAACCCAGGGCCGTAATTCATCGAGGGGAGTGTGTGTGTAGCTGGTACAGCCCAGGGAAAAACCCCGGCAACGGGCTGGAAGACCAGCCAGGTGGTGATTCAAACCCTTCCCCATCTCCCCCACGGGTCCCCGAGTCACCAAACCTCCACACTCACTTGTCCTTCCAGTGGTGATGCCCGTAGTGACCACAGATATCCTCGATCCCCGTCAGGAGGTGATCCAAGAACTGGAAGAGAAGGTCCAAGGCGTGGGCAGCTCATAGGGCTGTTCCCCACCCTCTCCCCACCCCGACACCCACGCTGACACAGGGGTGAGGGCACTCAGGGGGTGCAACATCAGGGCTGTGGGTCCAGGATGGGCCTCAGGAGGGCAGCACGGTCCTACGCAACTGGGCTGCTGCTCTACCAGGCACAGGGGAGGTCTGGGTCGGAGCGGGCACTGGACGACACAGACAGGGAAGAGCCCTCGCTCCGTCCCCCCTTCCCGTGGGCACCGATTTAGGGGCAGCTCCCGCTCCGTGAACCCGCCTGGTTACAGCGGTGGAGGCGGCAGAAGCAGAGAGAGAAGAGGGCTAAGGCGGCGAAGAGAAGCGCGCGGGAAGGGCCGGCTGGGCGCAGCGGGTTACCTGCGTGTGGATCTCTTCGTTGATGGAGCGCTTTGTCTCTTGCTTCTTCTTCACGGCCAGCAGGTCCACCAAGGGCCGGATGGTCATGCCCTAGGGAATGGGGAGGGTGGGTTAGATCTCTCCCCGAGGCACGCCGGTGGGAGCGGGACGGGTTCAGCCCAGCCGAACTGTGGGGCTCTGCGCTGCCAGTGTCGCTTGGCAGCTCTCCGTAGCTTTTGGAGAAGGGGGACAGTGACAGGGTCAGGGATGGAGGCTGGGGACGTGCTCCTCACTCTCCACACACGCGTGGCTCACTGAATAATCCCCTTTCCCTCTGAAACCACATCGTGACCACCTGCGTGCCACCAACCTGCACGAATACTGTGAAGAAGATGACCGTGATGATGGCTGTGAGGAACATGTCCCTCATGCCGAAATGCCTGTAGTCCAGGAGGTAACAGAGGGAGAAGGCGATGGCTCCCCGCAGGCCCCCGTAGGCGATGATGAACTGGTCCTTCGGCGTCAGCTTCACAATTCGGAACTTGTTGATGAACCAGGTGAGGACCAGGACGCCTGGGGGAGCGGGGCAGGGCCTCATGTGAGCAGATGGTGAAGGACCCCCCCCGGCAGCCCAGCCTGCAGCCCAGCGCAGCGTCACCCCCCAGGGCCATGGGTGCAGGTGGGTGCTGCCTGCTCGCTCATCCCAACGCCCCTCACCAGCTTCAACCCTGAGTCTTGCACAAACTTGGCCTCGACCCCGTCTACCCACAAAGCCAACCACCAGCAAGGCTGATGCCCACAGTGGACCAGTGCCACCCAGTCAATTCCAGTCTCCCCAGCAAGGCAAACTTAGGCCTCATGGTCCCAAGAGACTCAGGACTGTCCCCAAGGACTTTGCCACCACATTGACACCTCACCTAAAACTCTCGCGATGAGGCAGAAGAGGAGAGTGCTGATGACGAAGGTCCAGTTCCAGTAGTGGTGGCCAGCCACGGTGGAGACGCCCAGGAAGATGAAGATGAGGGTCTCGCTCACGCTGCTCCACATCTTAAGGAAATACTTGATGGTGGTGTGGGACTTGTGGGAGATGTTGGCTTCCACGTAGGGCCGCATGACCACGCCAGAGGCAATGAGCCTAGGGGCAAGGTTGGGGCACTCAGCAGCCATGGGGACACGGGGACAGCCCCAACGCCTGGTCCCGCAGCGGCTTTTTGTGCTCTTATACCAAACCCCAGAGCAGGACAGGGCTTGTGAGACACCAGCAATTATTCAAGACCTTCAGAGAAGGCAGCACGAGGTTTCTCCTTCCCCTTGGCAGGGCAGGAGTGAGCATGGGAGCCAGGCAGCACAACACCACGTCGTCTTGCCCAGGAGAATGGGCAATGGGCTGCCAGCACCCCGGGATCCGTGGGACAACTCAAGGGAATCGCTTCCCTCATCCGCCTTTCAGCATATCCCGGCCCAAACACACCTCTGGCCCTCGCTGGGCACGTACTGGCCATGCTGGGACCAAACGGTGTCCTGTCCTGGGGACAGGAGGGCATCTCATCCCACCCATGCCCAACTCACGCCATGATGCCGGAGAGGTGGAAGAGCTCAGCAGAGAGATACGCCATGTAGCTGTAGAGGAAGACGAAGAGGGGCTCGATGACTCGGATGTGGGAGGTGAAGCGGGACGTGAAGGCAGTGATCAGCCCATAAATGACGCCCACGAAGACACCGCCCAGCGATACCACAAAGAAGCTGAGGAAGCCGAGGATGATATCGATGATGGTCACCTGCTCGAAGGTGGCAAACTCCTCAAAGAGGTGGTAGAGGACCTGGGAGGGAGAAAGGAGAGGGGGGAGTTCAAACTGCCCCGCTGGCAGGAGACAGCCTCACCTCGGAGGAGACCTGCACGGGGACCTTCCTCGGGAGAGCAGCCGCACGGAGAGAAAAGCCGCATCTGCCCCGCTCAGCCCAGAGAACAGCCCAAACCCTTAACGCAGCTTTGTAGCCAAGAGGGCAACCTCGCAGGAGGAGCCCACCCCGGGCTGCATCGCCTTCTCCCACCCCCAGACACCATTTCCTGGAGAGATTTTAAAGCAGAAGCTGACACAGGCATGTCAGGATGGGCAACGGGCTTCAGGGCATCCAAAAGCCGACACAGGCGTGTCAGGATGGGCAACGGGCTTCGGGGCATCCTGCAGGCATGGCAGCACTGGCGAGCAGAGAGAGGGTGAGGTGCCAGCTGCCGTCTGCCAGGGCCAGGTCCTGGGACACGGGCAGGGACAGACGTGACAGCAGAAGGCAGAAGCATTCCCCAGGGACGGGAGCGGGGACACAGACCCTGCAGGCAGCCCCTCTGGTGATAAAAGGGGGAGAAGCGCCTGGGAAAAGCCCGGTGGTGGGACAGCACGTTCCTCGTCAGCGGGAACCTTGTCAGCGGGGCACTGAGCAGCCGGCTCTGAAGAGGACAGCTGGGATATGGGAGAAGAGCCAGGAAAAAGCAGTGGGTTAGAAATAAATTTAGAGGTCGGCTCTGCAGAGGAGGATGACGTGCTGATGGCCAAGCCAGCAACCGGACACAGATGTCCTCTGGAAACGGCACGGCCCCAGAGTGGGTGGCCTGGTCCCTGAACCTCCCGAAGGTCCCTGCAAAGCTGCTGCTCAAAGACTGGGGCTGAGGGGTGACCTGGGTGGGATGCCAGCCTGGCCGCAGCCCCCATGGCTCTCCCCTTGCCATGGCTGGCCATGTCCTGTCCTCACACCTCCTCGGTGCCACAGCAAGGAAGACCGCATGAGGAAGGAGACAGGAGGGAGCAGCAGCCACAGGGCAGTGCTGCCTGACCCAGCCCCAGCTCCTCCGTGCTCCTGCTCGCTTTTTTGCAGCAATTTCACCCAGGAGAGCAAATTCCCAGGAGACCGAGGCGCCGGGCACAGTCCTGCTCTTCACCGAGAGGCGGCAGCTGGCTGGGCACGTGCTCTCAGCCTCCCCAAACTGCCAAGTAAAACACTTCACCTTAACCCACCTCTGCAGTATTTTAAGCCGCTATATTTAACTTTGCACCTGCCAAAGGTTAGGAGCAAGCGGAGCTGCCGCAGCTCAGCTGGCAGGAGGCACCCGGCAGCTTGTAACGGCCCAGTCGACGGTTCTGCCCGCAGGGCTCCATCGATAGCTGCCAATCCTGGTGCCACCACCCCGAAACGCTCCACCAAAGCGAACCCCGTCCCCTTAGCCGATCCCCCTCATCCACTTACGACCGTGACGGCATCGTTCAGAAGGGACTCCCCGAAGACCAAGATGTGGAGCAGCTCGTTGATGTGGATCTCCTCGAAGACGGCCAGCACGGCCACCGGGTCCACGGCCGAGATGATGCTGCCGAAGAGCAGGTTGGCCAGGAGGCCGATGTGGTTCAGGCCGGGGCCGCCGAGCTGGCACACGGCATACATGAGGCCACCCAAGAAGAAGGCGTTCCAGAGCGTCCCCACCACAGCGAAGATGAGGATGGTGCCCAGGTTCTCGGTGAATTGGCGCAAAGGGAGGAAATAGCCAGCATCCAAGATGATGGGTGGGAGGAGGAAGAGGAAGAAGACATCCGAATTGAGGATGGGGGGCTTTTCACCCACCCCTTTGATGAGCCCCCCAACCAGCAGGCCCACCACGATGAGCAGACAGCTCTCGGGAACGATGTTGGACACCGAGGGGATCACGTGGAATCCTGGAGAGGAGGAGGAGAGAGCAAGACACACGTTGGCTACGCGACTGGAGGATGGTCTCTGCAGGACACCCCTGTGGGAGTCACGGACCAGTTCCCAGCCCTCCCTGCACTCTTCAGGATCCTTTACTCTTTGTGTGCCTCAGTTTCCCCTTCTAACCTCCTTCTTCCCCACACTCTCACGCTGTAAAGTGGAAAGCACAGCTTCACCAGCCCCACGTACCCTGGCATTGCTTGATCTCAGGTCAGAAAATAACAGCGAGTCCCAGTTCAAGAGGCAGCAGCCGCCCTCTCGGCACCCCGGGGTCTCTGAGGGGACCCCCAGACCCCCGCGACAGCCGTCTGCGGCACAGGCAGTTCTCACAACACAAGCTGTCGCTGGCTCCAGCTCTTCCCGTCGCAGCTACTAATCCCGAGCGCACGTAGGCACTGGCATTTACCTCCCGTCAGACGGCAGCCTGCCCACCGAGTGCTGTTACACCCGGCACAGCAGGCTCTGGCAGGAGCCACCAGCACCGTGCCCGTCCCCGGGTGTCCCCGGCACAGGGGGGGACAGGCAGGGGACCTGGTGCTCGGTGGGTTTGAGGGTGCAGTTGGAGCGGGTCCTTATTCCCCCTCCTGCAGCTTCAGGAGCGAGCTGGGAGGTTGCAGGCAGGGCTGCTTGCCGGCACGGAGCAGGGACAGGACATATCCTTGCGGCGCAGGGCTATTCCTTGGGGTGCAAGGTAAGAGGGAACTCGTTTTCCCCTTTT